TTTGAAGCTCAAACTGTTCTTGAATATTCATATTTTACTTTTGAGTCTTCTTAACTTTCTTCGTAAAATCACTATAATTTGGTTATTCATAACTAGATTATAAGTGTTATTAAGAGATATGGGATCAACACTTTCAGGTACTATACCATCCTCCTACCCTTTCATTTCTTCTAACCAAGAGCTACCTTTTGCTCAAATTTCTTCTTTTTCAGGTCCTCTTGATGAAGAACCTTCAGCCATGGAAGCTGAATACAACATGGCTGACAATGTCAAGCTTCTACTTCTAGCGGTTGCCATTGTCTTAAAAAAATGACGCAAGTCCACTAAGACATGCCTCTCAAGGAAGACCATTCTTCTGACCTCTCTGTTGTCAAAGCTAAAGTCAATGAGGTAAAGTAATTGCTATCTGTGGTGCAAACGAAAGTTCGCACCAACATTGAGTCCATCTTCACTCTCAATAGCAAGGCCGATGAAGCGCAAGCTTAGCTTACCAAGCATGGTGAGCTGATGCAGAAGATATTGGATCTTCTTCAACATCCAACACCAGTTCCTGAACCTTCTTTCACAGAAGTTGATCGACTATCTGATTTTGAGCAGCGACTGGATCTTATTGCCAATGCTCTCAATAATCTCACCTCTCATTATGTTGATGACAAAGAGGGGGAGAAATACTTACCTCAAGTTGTTGTCCCAACAACACCTGCTGATGTTGATGCTCAAGATGAAAGAGCTGAAGCAGATGAAGCTAATGTTGAAGTTGTAGATGCGATCACATCCCATGAACCTGAAGTTGTTGCTGAAGCTGAGGACAATGATGATGTCGTCAGAGCTGATGGTAGAGACGAAGACCTTCCTATCACTTCTACAGCTAATGTTGGTGATAAGGAAAATGAAGATGATGAAGATGAAACTGATGATCCTCTTTCCTTTCCTGATGCTAGACAAGATCTAGGTGTTGATGATGATGATGATGATGAAGATGACGATGATGATGACTTCACCATTGAATATCACACCAGACCAGCTGCTGTTCAAAAAGGAGTCTCTCTCAGTGAATCTTCTTCCCAGGGGAGAAAGAGATGTCTACAAAGAAACAGAACACCTCATCTAAGGATAAAGATTTTTTTGAAGAAGGAAACCTGACCATTCTACTCAAGCCTATAAATCCTCAAGAATATGCTCAACCCTCCAGGTTTGTCGTCATCACTTCTCTCTATCAACTCTTCTCTACAATCCCTTTTATTACCTGTGGTCGTCTAGATAAGTGGGTACCCCAAAATCCAATATCTGGAGTTCCCAGTGACCTACATATGACTCGACTTAAGGAGTCACTCGACCAAACTAGAGTAAAAATTCTTCTTCGTACCTCTAGCTGTGGGGAGTTCGACTTCCTTACTGAAGTTGAAAGAGTTGAAGCACTCAAGGCTGAGGAAGAACTTCGCATTCAATGTCAACAGAATGAAGACAGCCTCAAGTTGGGCAAGTCTCTTGCCACTCAAGTTCTTCTAAAGAAAAAGTCTAAGAAGATGAACATTGTCAAGGCTCAGGCTAAGTTGCTCTCAGTAGCTGAATCTGAACATCTGAGAGCACTGAAGCTGAAAGACCGATACAAGAGATGGAGCAAAGATCGTTTAAAGAAAAGAATTATTCCCCATCGTATTTCAAACATCACAATCAGTGGTCGTATGAAAGATGGAGGAATGCTCATCTCCATGCTCATCACCAGAGACAACCTTGATGTTGTCACTTAGTATCCTTCCAACCTTGAACAATATGCCTACAGCCAATGGCTGGAAATACGCCAAGCCATTCAGTGCTCAAAGTCAAGGCATAAGCAAAAGATCAAAGACATCCTCAACAATCTCATCAAGAAGATGTCTAGGTTTGTTGTTATTCCTTCAAAGCCAACATTGATGCAAGGTGGAAAAAGAAAACCTTCAGATCCTAATGATGGACCAACTCTGTGGAATGAACATGAAACAAAGTTCTCCCTTTAGGAAATCCTGAAGGCCAAATATCTTTATGTTGAATATATCCTTGCAAGCGAAAGGTCCTTACATACCCAACTCTGTGCACCTAAAGCCTGAGTATGGATTTATATTCATTAACTATGATGATGAATACAGCTTTCAAAGATGATCTGAGTTTTTCCTATGTCCTCTAGAACATCTTGAATTTTTGAGATATTGGTAGGACGATGATCCTCATGGTCAGGCGATGGATCGCAGGATCAAAAAGAATTATCTACGTCGAAAGATGCTCGGAGAAGAAGTACCTGGCTACATCAACATCAGCGACTTAGATTAGCTATAACTTTCTATCTTGTACACCTTACCTTCTATGTCTTTTCTTTCTGTGTACAACTTATATGTAATAAGTCTAGAATGTACAATTGTAACACTTGTATATTTCCTTTTGAATAATATGAGTATTTCCCCACTATCACTGAAAAAGATCTTTGAAAAGAGTAATAGGGACATGTATCTATGAGTTCCAGTTTGCTCTTACATTCAATAACAATCTTTAGTCAGTGAACATGCTTTCAGTTTCAGTTTCCCTTCTTGTATTTGTTTCACTTAAACTTGTAACTTAATAAAACTTATATAAGAAAAACTGTATCACTGAAATAGATTCCAAAATAGTTAAAAGGGACATGTACTTTACATGTAACTTTTCTTTAATATTATACCCTAACCAATTTTCTTTATGTTGCTTTGTCATCAACAAATAAGGCGAGATTCTTGATCCTCTCTCATTGATTTGATGATAATCCCATTTACCTGTCGAAGTATTATGTTTCTGTCTATTTAGTTTCAGTGATCATCACTAAGTCTGTTCAGTGATCGTTGAACATGTATTGTAACTCTACAGCGACAGTTATACTTCAAGAAGACAAAACTCATACCAAAGAACCTTTAGCAAATGTCAAAGACTAAAATTAAAGATTAGTGACTAGTGCGTTAGTGATCTGAAGTGGCATTCATTGATTACAACCTGGTCAACATATGTATGAAGAAGGCACAAGCCTCAGCGAGTGTTGAAGAGACCTCCAGCGTCATTCCAGCATTCAGCGATCAATTGAAGTTTTCCATGCACGATTGTTTTTGTCTTGTCCTTTCACACACAAAGAACAAACCCATACCTTCTCTAGAGTATAGTACAACACAGAGCCGATTAGTTGACTCCAGTACTCACCAACTCTATGAAAGGATGTCTGCTCATGAATAGACAAAAGAACTATCCACTGTAGCAAAGAACAAGTTTTCCTCTAAAAGCTTGACGTGTGTTCTGACTCTTCTGACTTACATTTAATGCAATGGGTATAAATAGCTGAGAGCTCTCTCCACTCAGATATGAAATACAAGAAGATACAAGTACATTATAATTCCTCTCCCTAATTCTAAGAAGCACTCCCAAGAAGAACACACTTCTAGTCTTATCTTTTTCTACAAATCTCTTATAATTTCTAAGTGTATCTATGTGTATTTCTAGATTTTTTTTAGATAGGTCTTTCTTTACCTTGTCTATTTCGCAAACAATCTGTAAAAATCTGTATTGATCCTTCTTTTTCAATATATATATTTTGAAAAGTGAAAGTTATTGTGTTTGTATTCATCCCCCCTTTCTACAAACTGATCACCTCTAAACTCTTGTAGATCCGGCTGGGACCAACAGTATGGCAATATCTTTTCTAGCACTTCATACAGGGAATGGAAGGGAAGACAGGTGGTCAGGACCGGGACTCTCACATCACCCACCACATTGGCATTTCAGTTATCTGGCAGTTGAAGGTCAACTATGCATAGTTGATTTTTGAAGACTTAGTGCTGAAGCTGAACAAACGCCAGCGCAAGAAGGTGGTTCCTTATACCATGTTCCTTTGCATGGTCTTTGCTAAGATCTTCGCCAAAAATTACCCATCTGAAGGTAATATGCCTATCTATAGGCTTGGGTCTAGGATTCTAGACCACAAGTCCAAACCAATAGATATTAGCCTCTTTGCTCCTATGTTGAGCATTGCCAATGGAACGTCATCCCTACCCACTTCTTCCTCTACTTCTTCTTTTTCACAGGTGGTTATGACTGAGGCAAACTCCCCTCAGTTTATCCTGACCACCACCTTCTTATCCTCTAAGAGGACTCAGTCTCAAGCCAATCTTGGTCCTTCACTGAGAGCTAAGAAAGCCAAAAAGGGACAAGCCACACTTCTGACTGTTACCTCTCAACAGGTCTCGGTCATTAAAACAATCCTTATCCCTGAAAAGCTCTTTATACTACCCACCCCTAGCTCTTTAGTGATCTCTTTAGACACTGTTGTACAAGTGGCCAGTCAACCCACCACTTTAGTGACCCAAATCACTGAAAGTGAGAATATCAACATTGCCATTGCTAAACACCCACTTCATCTCTTAGTTGTTCTTTATTCTCCCTCTCCCTTGGTCTCAATTACATGTGCTGATAAATCATCAGTGGTTGTCCCCACTGGTGATGAAGCACCCACCACAGGACCTAAGGTCTCTCCTCTCCAGGCGCCCCATACACTTGACGGCAATCCTCATGAAGGCTCATGTGAGACCAGTAGTGTCAATCCTTTAGATGGCGCTGAGGACCCCTCAGGTACATCATCTTTATCCTACCCCTTTAGTTCTATTAACCTAGAGCTTCCTCATGCTCAAGTTTATCCTTTTTTTTCAGGTCCTTCTACAACGGAGCCCACAACCATGGAAACAAATGTCTATGACATGGATGAGGATGTAAAGCTCTTCCTCCATGTTGTGGCCACCATCTTGGACGAGATGGACGAGGTCCACCAAGCGGTGCCCGTGAAGGAATACTTTACTCACGGCCTCTCTGATGTCAAAGCCGAGGTCTGTGAAGTAAAGGATTTGTAAAAGATGGTGCAAATTGAAGTGTGTGCCAACACTGAGGCCATCAATGTTCTCAATAGCAAGGTTGATGAAGTGAAAGCTTGGCTCACCAGGTACGGTGAGCTGCTTCAGCAAATTCTCACACTCCTCCAGCAGCCGGCCCCGGTCCTCGAGCCCTCATTTACTGATGCTAACCGATAATCACTGGATTAGGTGGACGATTTTAACCTTCTACATGTTGAGGCTCTCTCCAACTAGATCAACGCACTAAAGAAATCGCCCTGCATCTTAATGATCTCACCTCTAGTTTTGATGATGACAAAGAGGGGGAGAAAGACCAGCGTGAGAAAGATGATGTGGAGACCGCTGATGAAGTTGTTGTTGCCGTTGAAGCTTAACCTCTCTCGCTTATCCCTCGGGTTGAGGATGCCATCACATCCAATAAAGTTGAAGCTTCTATTGATGCTAAGGATGATGATGATGTTGTGATAGCTCCAGCTACTCATGAAGACCTTCCCATCACCTCTGCATTAAATGCTGGTGATGAGGAAAGTGATGATGAAGAAGATGATGAAGATCTTCTTCTCTCTGACACTGAAAAAGATCTGGGTGCTGACGATGATGATAAAGACGAAGACGATGATAATGCCTTCACTATCCAATATTATCCGGCTCCGGCTGAAAAGCGTGTCTCCATAAGGGAATTAGCTTCCCTGGGGGAGAAAACCACTAGGAACCAGCACTCCTCTGCTAAAGATAAACGAGTGGATGAAGAAGACAACCTAGAAATCATCTTCAAGAAGATTGACCCTACCAAGGTTGCACAGAGCTCTAGGTTTGTACTTTTTTCTTGTGAATCTGAACCCTCCACCATTATACTCAATGCACCAATGATCCCCTATGGTCCTCCAGATGAAAGGATAGTTGTTATTCCAACATCTGGAGCTCTCAAAATCAAAGGATGACTCAGCTAAGTCAACTTGACCAAACTAGAGTAAAAATCCATCTTCATACCTCTGGTTATGGTGAATTCGACTTCCTCACTGACGCTAAATGTGAGGAAGCCCTGAAGGCCAAAGAAGGGTTGCGCATTCAATGACAACAGATAGAAGACAGCTTAAAGTTGGTCAAATCTTTAGTCGTCAAAGCTCTAGCCAAAGGGAAGCTGAAGAAGAAGGATCTAGTAAAGGCTCAGCCTCAAGCTGAACAAGAATACCAAAGAGCACTGATGTTGAAACACCGTGAACTGAGATGGTGCAATGAAAGGATCAAGAA